CAGCTATTTAGGGACTTCGTGCTGGAGTTCATTAAGTATGATAATCTGGATACAAACATAACTGATTAGCCAATCTTGATTTATATCAGCATACACAATTGCTAAATGCCAATACCTAATCACTTAAAACCAAAACAAAACAATAAAATCACGGTATATACTGAGCCACACAAGAAGGAGAATTCACCTAGTCCAACCTGACAGATTTCTGAAGGCTTTGTCCAGTCAGTGAAGCAAATGAAGATTTCACCATCTCTCTGGGCTGCTCCATCTCTGAAGTACTCTCACAGTGAACATTTCCATCCTCACACCCAGTTCTGTTTCAACTTATGGCTATTATCTCCCATCCTCCCACTGTGCACCTCAGTGAAGAGCACCTTCTTGCCATGCTCCACCTTCCTCTTGGAAACCCTCTCGTAGGTACTGGGATACTGCAGAGCAAGGAAATCCGTGGATCGAACATGATTTACCTTGATTAAAACAGGTAAACGCTCTCTTCACATGTACAGAAATTACTTCCAAGCAGGCTCACACCATCATTTTTCCAGGGATGGTGGTTGAGAAACCTGCAGTACCCCCACACTTTCCTTCTTGCCCTTCTTGAAAAAGGGTACACATTAACCTTCCTCCAGTTATTGGGGACCTCCTCCAGTGTAGTCTTTCAAAGATGATAGAGAGCAGTACTTTCCCAGTACCCTCAGGAGGTCTCCTGTGGACCCATGAACTTGCATTGGTCAAGATTTCTCAGAAGATTCCTGACTCAATTCTCTTCCAGTCGCCCCTTTCCTCCCTGAGCCCCAACTCTGAAAACAAAGGCCTGTGAGATCCTACTCATGAAGACCAAGACAAGAAAACCATGGAGACCTCAGCCTTGTCAGCGTCTGCTATGACTACATCATCTGCCCCACTTAGCACCAGGCCTACATTTTCCACAACCACTTACTGCTTCTCTCCCTCAAGCTCTTCCAGCATCTTACACTCTGTTGCTGCCCACCTTCTCCTTCACCTCAAAACATTTTCCTCCCAGATGCCTTAATTTCCTTCCAGAGCTTCCATTGCTACCATCTAAACCCTTCCAACACCTCAGACCTTTTGCCTGCGGCCACTCAGAAACACCCTCATGCAGAGTCACAGGTAACACGCTGACAGACCTTGTCTGTTTCTCTGGTGTTTCATCTGCACTTGCTCCTATAGTCTTCGGAATGTGTTTCTTAGAGGTTCAAAGTGATGTTTTGAAAATAAGGGGTCACTGAACTGACATACTTCACTGGTTATAGTATGTTCAATATAAATACAAATCACATATTTGCTTAAATAATTATTTTACTTAGATAACGAATAACTTAAATGCAACTAACTTGAAAAAAAAAAGATAATCTTAGTGTTCAATCTTTGAGTTTGCTCCTATCCACTGTTTTACAGCCATTTGACACGGTTTACACTTCAGATAAATGCATTTATTCCATAAACATACCTTGCTTTTACAACCGCTTAATGATTTCTCTAAGAAAAGGCTCAAAGATATTCTTTTTTTTTTTTTAAGTCAATATATATGCAAAGGCCAAAAAATTCTGCCTGTCTGCAGTGCAGAGAAAAGTTAAAAGTGAACAAACTACTAACCAAAGGCTAAGGAACAGCTGCACAGCTCAGTCTGTGTGGTAACCAGCAGCAAACACAGGGCTCTACCCATTTAAGTCTGTAATTGCTTATAGTGTTATTCATTAAAGATTTAGAATACTTTATTTCTACTCAGGACAGACATATGTGTGTGGGAAAATAAAACAAACCCGTAGACAGTTAGAGCCAAATTCACACCACAGAATCAAAAATGATTACTGAACTTCATTTCATAAGGTGAATTCCTAATATACTTTAATTTCCTCTGGAATTTTAATTAGATTGAAAAAAAGAATGCAGGAATGGAGTTCAAGGACTATTTTTCATAGCAACAATTATTTAGAATGTAGTCTCCCCTATTATATCTTCTCAAGAAAGCCATGTTTTATAGCTCATCCATTTTTAATTTGATAAAGCCTCTGTGTTCTGTTCTCCCTTTTCATTCGACTGCGGAGTCTTCTCATAAATGTTCATCTCCTAGCAGCTATAGCATAATGAACAGCAAAGCAAACCACCACTCATCTGAACAAAGACCCTCCCACACAGTGAAGTATCTATGTCTGGGAGCTGTGCTGTAGAAAAACACATGCCCACAGTTATTCAAAGATTCCACTTCAGCTGTAGTGCAATGCTCTGGCAGGCATGAATAGCCTTTCTTTTACCTTGTTTATTCAAGAACTATGATCCACTACAGCCTGCTTTTAAGTATTTGATATCCTGCACTGAGGAGATTAAATAAGTCTGACGCCAAATGAAAAACTTCAGCCCCGCTGTTGATTTTTGTAAACTTATGAAACCAAAATCTGAAGGTCTTGTCCTCAGAGACTAAAAGGCCTTTGCTCTAGGATTTCGTATTTATTCTAATAGCAAAGTCAATCCTATCTCTGACAGAAACTGATTTCTTGATAGGTTCTCTCCTGCCTTGAGTGCATTTGAAAGCAAAACACCCATGTCCCTAATTTCCATACTGCTCCTCATGTAATTAATCAAAAAACCAATCTAAACAGACTTTCTTTCCAAGCGCACTATTGAGAATTAGTCATTTGTGGGAGAAAAACAAAGAGAAGGAGGACTGTATTTTACATCTTGGTTAAGAAGAGTCTTTCATACTGGGAAGGTGGAAGATGGGCACTGTAATAATACAGTGTTTAAATAAGTGAATATGCACAGGGCACACGAGTGTGCTCCCATTTCTTATGCTGCCAGTGAAAGAGGTCATGACCTTTTAGACTTCAGCCTCATCACTTCTAATTTTTCATCTTCGTTCTCAGAAGAGAAGTTTAACCCATCTGGTTTTCAATTTTACGAGGTCATGAGCCATAAAAGAAAATACAGCTTTTAAAAAAAATGGAGATATATAATCTTCTCTCAGTGTATAAGAGTAGATTATGCAGATGTTTCAGTTAGGTCAGGACAAACCTAGAAGAGAAAAAATCCTCTCCACCACATTACACATTCATATGTCTGCTACTGGGTGGTTTTTTTTGGTCGTACTTACACATTTCTAGTCTCTCTCTCAAAACAGTATACAATGATCAACCTTAAATTCCCACCAACACAAAGCTGGGAAAATCCTGACTTTGATATCATCACTGGGATAATTAGCCAAGCGCTGCAATGAGGCAATAACTTCATCAGAAGTGATGGTTACATTTTCTACTACAGCAGGAAAAAACAAACGTCCCACACTTTCTTCTGCTCTGTGGGAACATCAGGCAATACGACGAGAGAGGGGTCAACTTACATCTGAGCTGGACGTTTGATTGGTCGGTTCATATCTCCAGCAAGGCATTTAACAGTTCTGGTGACAAGGTTTTTTGTTTGTTTGTTTTCTTAAAAACACAGCCGAAAAATTTGCAGCCTCCCTCTCCCCAGCCACAAAAGCTACAGAGTTTCAGCAACGCCCTCCAACCCCAAACTCCCCACCCCATATAAAACATTTTACATACAATAGAGTCTGTAAGATCACCTACAGAGTTTTCAGCATCTACGAAAGCTAGAGCACCATCATCATAATCTCTTGAAAGACTTAAAATATGGGTATACTTGGAAGGCAGGTAAGTTCAGAGTATTTTATACATACAAATGATACAACAAGCCATCTCAAACAGCACAGCACCTTCAAAAGACTAACTCATATTTCACTACAAAAACATGGAATGATTGACCTGTTTCAAGTATTTAAGAGATGAAATCTCATAGTAAAATGCAACATGCAGGAATGTTTTTGTTAAGCCTATCTTTAAAACTGGCATCTTCCAAGCTTTAAAAAACAGCAACAGAAAATAGTATGTAAAACCAGATAGTAATTGTTTCTAATACTATTTCTCTAATTGCCTTACAATTCAAAGGCCATTCAAGTTCTTGTGGACTGTGTCCACCTAAAGTCTCGTTCCTTTCTCCAGAACAGCAAAAACACACTGAGCTGTTAATTGCAGTAATGCTAATTAAAAGATAAAAAACCCATGACTACATTAACACTGAAATTGCCAATTAGCACGTAAGGCTCTCTCATTACTGCTGGTGAACGAAATGTGAAGGCCGATGTGGATAGCAGTCATAAAATAAAAGACATTTCAAAAAAGCCAATAGGCCACATTTTCAGCTTACTTCACAGGTTCTGCTGGAATCAGTAGCTGAGAAGTTGACCTATAGCAAAGAAAGGAATTCCCATAACATCTTGTAAAAATTACTGAAGAAAATCGTTGCCATTTTCCAGAACTGCATTCAAAATGATTTTCAGAGGAAAGAGTACCACCCTAGCATAGTCATTAAAAAGTATTTCATTAATAAATAAATGCAAAAATGCTAACCTTTCAGTGAACAATTTCTCCCAACTTCATACTCCACATAAGGCTTCCCCACAAGGCACTAATTGATACTGAAAGCAGTCCAGATTATCCTGTTTTCCTTTATTCTTTAGAAGGAATATCTATTCTTCTGTCCTTCAGTCTCTTTCAGTGACCATTTTATTAAAGTTAATCCAGATCTCCACAACCCTAGAGCTGCCTGCATAATGTGATTGCACTCTTCAAATATTCTTATTTCCTCAGGTGTCTCTCTCACTCTCTCTGTTTTTTGTGCTTGTATTTTAAAGGGTTTGAATTTTAATTCAGAGGTCTCATGGTAAATAAAACTGAAATGCTTTCAGCATTATCATCCTGGTGAGAACTGGAGTATATATTTGTTTTTTACTTGCTCGTTTTTAATCAAGCATTTTGTTGACCATAATCAATTTCTTCACTCAGGAGAAAAATGTGCAATTATCTACAATGAAGAAGGTGTGTCTAAGGAATAGGGTGGGGGGGAAGAGAAATCAATGGAACCATCTGTCTGACATTCCTACAACATTATAAGAGACTTGTAATTAACTGCTTGCCTACCAAAGTCTGCCAGCTTTAACTCCCCCGTGTCACTGATCAGAAGATTCTGTGGTTTCAGGTCCCTGTGCAAAATGTAACGTTGGTGGATGTAAGACAGTCCTCGCAGCAACTGAAATAAAAATAACTGAAAAAGAGGGGGACAAAAAATGACCTCCGTTAATATTTTGCATATAACCACAGGTGATTTCTTCACAACATGCAGGGTGCTTGCATATTGTGGTAACATTGTGTCAGAACTCCTCCCCAACTGGCGTAATTCCCACCCAAATTTAACACAATGAAATTTCCATCTAAAAAAATATGTACTTTGCAAGGACTAACCCCAGCCTCCAAGCCCTACCATATCATAGATTCAATCTGCCTGCTTTACAAAGAACAAGAGCAATACAACCATGTGCAGAAGGCTCGATTTCTACCAAATTATAATTATATTCCATTTACCCATATGGCCTTAGAGATTAGATGGTAGCCTGAAGACAGATGTGTATCTTCACTAATTATAGGAAACACCAGTACAGGGTGGAGAGGGATGGGGAGATAAGGCTGGGGGATGGGACACTGAAGCTAAAACAAAGAAGAAATTAATACTATAACAATAATTCCTGCATACCCAAGTAAATCTGCAAGTATGACATGTTTTCTCCTTTAAAGCTTTTGTTATGGGAGTTACTTATGTATTTTTCATTAGGAAACAGCAATTCTCACTAAACCTAAAGATGACTTTTGAAACCTACTTATGATAGTCTTTAAGGTAAATTTAGATAGGAACCTAATTCATGCCCCATGTTTCTTTTCATCCTTCACTGGACTCTACAATGTTTTCCCTAGAGCTAAGCATTGATGTGGTGTATTTCTGCCATTTGCAATTACGAACAAAGAGTTGGATGATGGAGATCTTTTGTCCTCCCCTTTTCATGTCCTCTCCTATCATTCTCCTGCATTCCTATCGGCACCTGCTGTGAAAGGCTGTGTTACCCCAACATATCTTGTCAATACAAAGGGTGAACAATCATCTCCCAGGAGTTTTCTCTGCAGTTTTGAAAAATCTCTCCTAATATGCAGACTCTTCCTATTGCCTGAAACATTTTAAGAAATATTAGTTTCCAAATGGGAACACAACAAGCTTTTGCAAAGCCAAACATGGAGGATTCAGGAGTGAATATGGAACTCATGCCTCACAGCTCTGCGACTGGTGAAACGTGATCTCTAGGAAGATGTAGAAACCACACCAAAGATGTGGGAAAAGTCAACTCGGGCACATGAGAATTTCTAATTAACTTGCAACACAAGCATCCTATTTAGTGACTGCTGAAGTGAGGAGACATTATCAAAGGGGTTACAAAATCTGATTATAAAAGAGAATAAAGGCTGACATGAAAGAAACAGAAATGTCATGTTACTGAAGTTGAAATGAATTTAATTGCATTTCATTTTTTCCCTGAGTGCAGACACAATACACTGTATGTTTAGCTATTTAGCCAGGGCACAAAGAGCCATATCAATCACCTTCTTGCCAGGGCTGGGTCTAACAATGTACTGAGGAAACCTAAGAGCAAAGTACAGAAACGAAAGAATGGCAGGAAAGTCATAAGTAACATGCACATTCCTTTTTGAATTGTGGTTAAAATGGAACTCATGGTACACAAAAACCATTTTAACAAGGGCAGGAAGCAGAAATGTCTTTCATTACAGCTTTAAAATATAAATTAAATTCTATTAAATGACTACAACATTTTTTTTTTTATAAAGAGATAGGGAAAATACCCAGTTTCCTAGGCTAAATCAATGGTATTTAAACATTTTTTCTAAATATGCAATGAAATTTAAATTATCATGTTATCTTACAGCACTGTAATCTTTATAACTCCAAATACATTTATTAATGTGGGCTTGCATTTTACTTTAATGCAAAGAGTCAAGAGATTTGACACGACATGCTAAGAAAAAAAAAATCAAAAATTTCACAGGTAAACAGAGTAAACGTCTATTCCTGAGGACAGCCTTCGATTGTAGTTTTATTCCAAACCTGTAGACATGCTGTACTCATTAAGTACTTCCACAAAAGTCAATTAATTCACTTGCATACAGTGTATTAATTGCTTCCTGCTTGAAGGAAAACCATGAATGAGAAGGGGTAAAGACCTCCCTGAACTTGATACAGGGTAAACTCAGTCATTGTTTTGTTGCTTTCTCTTTTCCTCTACCTCTTTGTCTTTATTTGGTAATATTAAATGTGAAAAGATCTAAGGGAAAACACAAGCCTAACAGAGAGCAGTAGAGCATTCTACAAACCACAGACCCTTTGGGATTACTTGGTAAGAGAGAACTGTAAAAGAGGCTCCTCATTTCCAACCATTCCCCACTCCACAAAAAGAAAAGAAGAATTGGAAAGAACCATTTCTGACACCCCAGGAAACACTTCTGCCTTCTCACAGTCAAGTTCCCTCCCATGTCTTTGAGGAATGCCCTCGCCAAGAAACCCATTCCCCTTCAAGACCATCTGCATTACCTTCCCAAGGAGGGAAATGAATGCTAGATGAGGTACCATCACCTCTTACCCATATACCCCATCTGAAGTTAGCATGCCTCCTATTGTTGTACTCTGATCTTACTTGCTCCTTCCTCCACCTTGCTCAATTCTGATCACTATGAAACCTCAGCCTGGGGCTCCTGCAAGGAAGTTTGAACTAGCAACTGAACTGCCAGAGGATGGCAGCCCCGCAGACCAGAGGACAACTCTAAAAGGAGTCGGCAGATTCTACATGCATTTCAATAGGTTGGTTTGTGAGGGTAGAAACAATGCTGATTCATGTTTCTTGAGCTTTTATGTTAGTAATTTTAATATTTACATGGTCATACACAAGGCTGTATAAGTGTCAAATAACCTGTAATAAGCGAGCTAGGACATCACTCGTGTGCAGTTTGCAGTTTATTAGTAAGAACAGATGTTTTGGTGATAAAACAAAAGACTCACAAGATGACAAGGATCACTGTGATAAGAGTTGGAAAAGACAGAAAACAGGAACGGGATTTATCTCTAGAAGCCAGGTTTTCAGCAAGGCTCAACACTTTACATTTAGAGCAAAAAAAAAAGGAATACTTATACTTCAGGCCTTGCTTATTTATTACAACCATGAAAAAAATACCTTTTTTCCCCTAACAGTTATGCAGCTCTCACTTTAATGAGCAACATATTTTAGTGACGAATTTTCATTGTCAGTGAGAAAAATGCATGCAGGTCAAAGCTAATTTGGGGTTTATGGACTGTGATATTAAAAGAACATCAGGAGTTCTTAAAACTTACAAGAGTGAGCCCTCAGTTCCACAAAAAGGTAAGCACCTACATAGTATTTCAAGTATAGGGCCTGAAGAGCCACTTGAGCTACATGCAACAGTTTAAACCAAATGCCTGTTTAAACCAATTACAATTTCTGAGAGACCTGCCAGGTGCCTGGACGAATACCCCTGCTTTCACAGTGTTTTTCTTGAGCCGGCGTCAGTGTACAACCTAGACCATTACACACACACGTGTATCTAACAGCCGCAAGATGGCTCGTGCAACAGAGCGCTTCATTATCTTGTTGGCCTCTGAATGCCACATAGGAACTTGAGCTCTTCTCATCCAAATGAGCTCATCCAACTGACACAGACCATCCAAAACACATCTAATGGGTGGGACTGATGGATGTTAACACTTTCTGACTCGGTTCAGAAAGCTCTGATGAGTCTAATGATAAAGGGAGATGCTCATGTAGAGGTGATCTGTGTAGAAGTGTTCAGATGACTCCACATAGCTGCTCTCCATTCCCAGAGGTGGCAGGGCATTTCTGGCAATGGATACCAAGGTAAATGAAAAGCAGAAAGAAATTCACAACATGCACAGAGAGATTCTCCAGAAAATGTACTGTTTCCACACAGTGTCTGCTGAGGCATCAAGGACCCCAGTGACAAGAAGGATGCTGCCCAAGAGGCCATACTAATGAGGCCGGGGTGGGGCTTTTTCAAGTCAGGAAGTGTCTTTCCTTGATGGCACAGAGGGATTTCTGAATAATTTCCTGAATTTGGGCTCCCTTTCCACACGATGTATTGTGGAAACAAAGGATCTGGTCCTAGATACAGAAGAAGAAAGCTACATGGAACCTTTTAGTCTAAAGAAGATGCTCCTGACTCTTGCTTCTGCTCTCTCTGCAGCAAGAGACTGCAAATGGAGCTGAGCTAACCCAGACCATGAGTTCACAGCAGTTCAGAAGAAAACTGAAAGACTGGGTTAATATGCTGATCCTTTAGCAAGCTCCTATTGCTGTATCAGCATAGTTCCTTTTGAAAAGTAATAGACAATACTGCACAAGCTTTATTATCACTCATCACTGATAACACAAATGCTCCAGCTTGCTGTATGTATCAAAGCACACCAGCTGGGTATCCTGCAATCATCTGAATTCCCTTGTGTGTATTCAGCATCAATCGATATCACATGCTGTCTTAATAGGCCATCAAATCTAAAACTACCAGCAAAAGAAACCCAACCCAGGACACCGCACCTCATGCTTGCAACCAGTTTACTTCTGCTTACCCTCTGGATGATGTTACAGGCTTCTGTGAATTATTGACTATTTACAAAGGTAAAACAAAGTAATAAAACCCCACAGCCTCGGAAATAAACTGAACACAATGATCAGTTATGCTTGGGTCTATTAGACTGTCTGGGAGTTTTAGATCTACTTGCTTTAAACGAGTAATCTAAGAAAAAAAACTACTTGGTAATATGTATTATCTGAGAAGCAATGAGAAACGCCTCTGTGTGACTTCTGCTAGCACTTCAAAAGCTCATCAAGCACAATATTCTATCATCACTGTTGGTTTGTTATTCTTTTCCATCCTCTCAGCCAGCATAATACCCACAAGATACAATCTAACTTTTCACTTCTAACAATAACCCAGGGAAATACTGAACTTTTTAAGTCAAAACTTTGTAGACTCTCTTCCTTAAATTGTCAGAAGAAGAAATTCCAGGAACAAAGTGTTGACTCGAGATGCATTTGCATCCCTAGGAATAAAAGGATCCTATCTGAATAAAAAATTATTAGCCATTTGAATTAGCATGATTTTCATGATCATAATAAG